TGTTGCTGGTCCTGCCTAGACAGGAATGTCGGAAAGACGCGACGCAATGGAAGATCCGACTCCCCTGCAACCACCAGCTGGGCTCAGCTCTAGGAAGGAGGCAATGGCAAACCACTTCTGAAAAAACCTTGCCAGGAAAACTGCAAGGACTTGTCCAGGCAGTCTCCGAAGACTCAGACATGATTGAATGGATTTAAAAAAAAAAAGCTTGTGGGCTTACCAAAACGGTGACTGAGACAAGCGTGCAGTGTGGGAAAGAGGCACAGACGGAAGTGTTAAATAAAATAATGGGCGGGCCATGCACGGAGTAAAATAAGTGTCGGATTCTGAGCGTGCAACCTAGATCCCTCACATGCGCAGTTCACAGTAGGGTTCGCGCTCCTATGAGAATCTAATTCCGCCGCTGATCTGACGAGGTGGAGCTCAGGCAGTAATGCGAGCGATGGGGAGTGGCTGTTTTTGCTCACTTGCCCGCCGCTTACCACCTGCTGTGCGGCCCGGTTCCTAACAGGCCACGGACTGGTACCAGTCCTCAGCCTTGGGGTTGGGGACCCCTGACTTAGAGTACAAACAATAGTTTACTAGTGTTTTCTGTATTCTCTATGCTCAGCAACTGTTTTCCATGGTGCAAACAAAGTGGTGATAATAAGTGTGGTTGGAGGAGTGCCTTCAAAATATTCTGCTCTGAATATATTTCTGTGTGTTTACCTTTTCAGACGTTAACTTCCCTTGCTAAGCTCATGAAAGAATGCTGGTATCACAATCCATCGGCAAGATTAACAGCTTTGCGTATCAAAAAGACGTTGACCAAAATTGATAATTCCTTGGACAAGCTCAAATCTGACTGTTGATAAACAGCCACGATGCTGGCAGATACAAAGAAGGACAAACAGCTTGCTGAACTCTGGGATCAGCACAGTTGTATACTCAACCAGCCATCGGAGAGGAAACAGAGCCATGCGAACCTTGATTAGAGCCTGTCGTGGCATTTTTGCAAATGGCCACTCAGTAAAGACTTCAAGCTGAATCTGTGGTGGCCTATGGAAGAAGACAGAGGAGTCCTAAGACAAAATCGGGGCATTAGAACCATGGCTTTTAATTTTTTTTCAGTTCATAAAAAGAAACAGAGTGTTAATTGTCTCTTTGATGCTCCCAACTTTGACACATGGAAGCGGTCAATTTTAACCCACAACATTGCCCGTGTTTCTCTTCTTTGTTGCACTAGGGGATTCCTTGCATTCCTTCCTTGCACTGTTACAGTTTAATTTTAAAGAACTGACTTGCCAAAAATAGGATTGGCTCTGTACTCCTTGGTCTATGTTTTTGAATATAGGAAATCAGCTTGGGCAACCGAACCTGTAACTGACTCTTTCTCTCTCTCTCGCTCTCTCTTCTCTCTCTTTTTTATTTTGTTAAGCTGCATTTTACATATGTGTACTGTTTACAATAATGCTGGACACTAGGAATTATTGTTGATGAGGAAACATGCAGATTTTATTTATTACTAGTGCATTTAACAGTTTTTAAAAAACTGAGAAAAATGCATACAGTTAAAATTTATTTTTATGTAGCTTCTATCATTTCTTATAGCCTCCTTTTGGTAATATCATATAATCTGAATTGGTTCTGTTTCTTTCCCCTGTTGAATCATTTAGACATTTTAATCACAATTTTTTAAGTGCTTCACATTTTATATGCGTGTGGTCTGTAACATATTTTCAGTTCAAAATATGCAAAACATTTATATATAAATATTATATATATAAATATATATCTAAATATAAAAGCCATTATCCAAATTATGTCACATCTAGTACCTTATTGATTTAGAAGGAGGGATCAGCTGAGCAAAAGAGCAAAACAATAGGTCATGAGAAAGTGCTGCTCCCCCCACCCCCGCCAGCTATACGTAATGAGCATTTAAATGCTGACAGGGAAGACATTGTTTTAATTTGCTTTTTTTCCTATTGATTAGTTACTTATATAAATGAAAGAGAATATTTCCCAGTGAAATGGAAGGGGAGTATTCTGTTAGTGCCTCCTGGGCTAAAGGTGAAGGCAGTATGTTTAAGGTGAAGCATCACCAGCATATATCTGTGGGTGATTCCCACCCTGTGCTGTGCTGGAAAGTTAGCTGTTGTGTTCTCTGGCCCATGTGATGGAAGGGATGTCTCTGAGGTTTGGAATGCCGGAGCAGTCCCTCACGCAGGGGGTGCCAATATTGGGTATCCATTCTGGAGCTGTGACCTCATAATGGCATGGATTGTTGTGTGATGTATGGACGAACCAAATTATGTGTTCTGGCTGCTTTTTTATATCAAGTTTCCCAAGTAAACAACTTCGATCCCAGTGCCTTGCCTTATACTATAGTTACTCTCTTTTTGAAGCTTTCCAGGTAAAAGCTAGGGATGCTGAACCTAACAACCTTTGAACATTAAACCAGCACAATCCCACAGGCTTGTCTAGAAACAGGCTGAATGGACTTGGTTTCAAATGAGAGTATTTTAAATAGGACAGGACAATTGAGGCTTTCATTATCCCCTGTCCTATCTTATATGCTTCAATAACAGTTATTTGGGAGATGTGTACAAGAGCTTTGGTTTGGACAGCTATGTGCTCAGTGAAATACTACTGCTTTCACTAAAAGGAGATATGACATCATTCGTATAGTATTGGATAGATATACCATGATTTGTTAGGATTTATTTGCATCTCCTATATAGTGTAGATTTTCAAATGTTACCTTTGCAGTGCAGAACTTTGCCAAGTGGTCTCAAAAGTAGCATTTGAATTGATTGTAGATAGGAACTAATTCCCCACCTCAAAAATTCCCTGCTTGCAGAAAAGTAGTTAAATCACTTCTTCCTCATATTTAACACAAGAAATGACAATTTTGTGGCCCTAGGTTCACATAAAAGGGGCAACTTATATGTGAATAAGCGAAGAGTAATGCTGGGAAGGACCCATAAAAAATGGTGTTTGATATACTTCTTCCTAAGCTTTCTATAGTTTTGATAAGCAGCTTGGTATTTTCTAAGAGAATTGTAACTTGTCCAATTAACTTTCACTTGTTAAAATGCTTGGTGACAACCCAAATCAAAGAAAAATAAATGAGAAGTTACCAATTTTTAACAAACTCCATTTAATATTTATGAACTTTTCCAAGAGGACTGGCTATCCATCTAATAAATACTCTATCTTTAACTTGTTTGTATGGCTATTTAACAATTTCTACAGACTGATGGAGTTTCTGTGCATCTACTATTTCTGATTTGCTGCTTCACTTTAATAATCTTGGTAGATCTTTTTGTTTTCAAGTAGTCCAAAGCTAAAGAGGATTACAATGCAGTTGACACATTTACATGAATGTAGAAAATATCTAGGGGATCACTGCTGCCGTAGAAAGAATGTGTTTGAGTTCGTATCATACCTGGAATAGTAATTGCAGGAGGTGTGCAATACATTTCAAATTTGAAACATTTTAAGCTAGAAATGCCCATAGCACTGAAACATTTCCTGTAAAATTGAAACAGCCTGTTTTGAATGTGGAACAGCTGTTTACAGCTTGAAACTTGGCATTTTGGGCTAAAAATATTGTAAATTTGAAATGTTGGCATATTCCTAGTAATTGCTGTCTACAAATTATGGTAATTGCAAAATGCAGAAAAACAGAAATCTTGTATTAATTACCTGATTGGTAATTCTGTAATGGAATAGATTCTTCTTAAATTGCTGCCATTGCCATTTTAGCCAAAATAATAGATAAAGCAATACAGTATATGATTTCAGTATTTGATAACTGTACATCATGGGACAAGCATTCCTTTTCACATAGTTCTTTAAGTTGCATTTTCAGGTCCAAAGCCGCCCTAAAACAAACGTCCCTCCAGATCTGTGAATTTGAACTTCCAAATGTTGAGATATGGCTGTGCTGCTTGGAGGGCATCAAGATTTGGGAAGGCTGGTCTGAGGTATCAGGGATTACGTTTCTTCAGTAATATGCCTACCGTATGAAGAATTAGGCCCCTATGACTCAAACATATTGGGGAGCTGGTAAAACCTCTCCTTAAAACATAGCAAGTTGCAGTGTTTAAGAATAATAATCTTTTTATGCATTACAAGAGAGGTTTTACATTACTTTGATAGAAATTAGGATGCAATACATTAAATAATGTGCTTCTATTCACTTAGCAAGGAATAAATTGGCATATAGTTTTTCAAAATGCTATAATCCAGTGTACAAAGTAGAGTAAACCTTTACTTGATCATAGGTGGACTGTTCCCAGATAGACACACTGCTGCTGTGATGGCAGTAGGAACTCCTGTTTATGAAAATGATTTTGGCATCATTATTTATTTATCATATTTATATAGCCACCCATCTCACACAAAGTGACTCTGGGCGGCATACAACAATTAAAAAGAATAAATACATAAAAAACAATTACAGGTAAAAAT